CTGGAGCTAAGGGATAATATACTCTAGTAATTCGAACCCATTTAGTCGCCTCTTACGATCCCACAGGCTTAAACAATGGCTGCAATAGTGTTGCCTTATGCAGCCTGTCATAATCAAGGTCAACCCTTAACCACAAAAGTGGGTGTTTGTGAATAGACCGATAAAAGTTTGAAGCTTGTTCGGACGACGCTAGAGCGGTCTTGCAGAGACACTCAGCTGTTTTAATGAAGGAACATGGTCGTGATCCAAGTACAATCCCAAAATGTTCTTTGTAAATATTGTTCACTTGTGAAATGTTTTGTCGGATAAATATCTTTAAACCAATTCGTTCCTGAAGTAAATTGAAATCATATCCAATTCTGCCATTTTACTAATATCATTGCTTATCTACACTTCACTGATTTTGAAAAGATTGATAATACATGTATATGCTCAATGGATGAATTGACTGCAATGGATTTAATGAAGTTTAAATTGTAACATGTAATAGGATACATTTGAATCATACGTTTAGCAAAAGAAAGAATTTATGAAAATGCGAAAATATATATAAAAGGAGTTTTCCCACTCCTGGAAAATTTAGTTGTCGAGACAATTTTTTTTAAATCTGCTGTAGGGTTTCGGATGAAGCCTTTCGCCATTGATTCAAAGAAATAATTGTATTAAATACCATAAGGTGGCCAAAACAGTGTTGGTATTGTCAATTTGACGGCATATTGTCATTTGAAGCAAACGCCGCATTGTGTCATTGTATTACCAGGGTAGACAATATCAATATTACCGAGTCTGTCATAAAATCTTATTACATCCAAAAGAATGATATGGAGACAAAACAAATCTACAATTAAATTAATTGTTTAATGATGTTTCCATAATATATTTAGAGTATGTTACATGTTTAAATACTGAAGGGCGCAGCACTTAACATGCAGTAATGTGTCATAAAGGTAGCAAAATGTGAACAGTATACATGCCATACAAAATCACTGTAACAAGATACCAAACAAGGTTTTTGAGATATAAAATTGACAGCATTTCTTAGGCATAATGTGCCTTTTACCTGTTTCGTGTATGTTCAAGCAAGTACTTATTTATATTTTTTCAAGGGCGGTTATCATGAATGAATTGGCTACAGCATCAATGGGAATAGTCGCCCTTGAAAGTCATATTCACTCGGACGCATGCGGTAGTGTTATCTTAATATAATTGTAGAACGAAATCAGAAACAATAGTACCTTTTATGATGAGCGACATATTTTATTGTTATCTTTTATTAGATATTATCGTTGGCCGATGAATAAATTTCATCGTATTTAAATGTAAACATCTGTTATAGGAGTAGTTAATGTATTCGTCAATTAATGTAAAATAATGATAGAAACACGTGTCATTGACAAATTTACCATTATACATTTACGAAAAAGGATATTTCATTTGACAATAACAACATCTTTTTCCATTTCTGATAAATTTCTAATCTCATCCGAGATAAATAGATACCAAGCTGTTAATAAAGAGGTTTGGTTTGGTGAAAAATTAATAGCATCAAGTTAGATTACTCTTTAGTATTCGCCGAAAATCTGAAACTGTACAAATATGACTGTTTGTTATCAATTAAAAGTTTGTTGCAAACAGTTCATTAAATAATATAAAAAACCTTATAATGAACTTGATAATAAACACTGACATTTCAATGTATTTATTTAACTTTTTTATCACTCACTCACTCACTCACTCACTCACTCACTCACTCACTCACCAACTCACTCACTCACTCACTCACTCACTCACTCACTCACTCACTCACTCACTCACTCACTCACTCACTCACTCACTCACTCACTCACTCACTCACTCACTCACTCACTCACTCACTCACTCACTCACTTCAATTAATCGTAATGAATTGATTTTGTTTTGATTCCTTACGGAACATCGGTGGTTCTAATTGGGTGCTCGTTTGTGCTAGAAATGAATCATACAGGGTTATCTGAGGTCTTCCTCCATCAGTAAGACTTTTAAGTCGCCATGTGGCTTATACCTTGAACCCCAAAACAAAACGACAAAACAAAATCAGTCTAACAAACTGACAAGATAGACATCATGGCATGATCTCTATTTGAGTAGAAATATTGAAGTCTGTTATCGTTAATTCTTTTTTCATTTATTGTCTACGCCTATTTATGTATTTTTTCTTTAGGACGTATGTCCTGATGAGGAATGAAAAGCAGGGATTTGCTAAATATCAATTTATGTACCCTATATAACTGAGAAGTAAAAAAGGACAGATCAATAGTTGAATGCACTTTGTGAAATTTGTTTGAAATGTTATGTTTGAGTGAGTGATTCAAATGCATTGTTCTTGTCTTATTACACCAACAGAAGGTTCTGTGATGACAGAAGATGTTGTAGTCTCATCCTCAAATTCAAAGAATTGCTCAACACCGTTCAAACAACTGTCGGAGCTAGGGTCGTGAGGTATGTTGCAGTTTTCCATAATCTCTCATAAACACAGACTCAAGCAAATCGAGTCTGCTATTTCCATGTTATTTTGTTGTGGTTAATGCTTCCGAGGAGTCACTTTTGTATCTAGATTTTTATTCTGCATTCTACAATAAGGTTAAATCGTTGAAGTACACCCAAACAGATCAGTCACCTTAGATTGATTTATCGGCGCCAACATAATAACTGAAAATACAAACGAAAGGAATTAACTGATTGGTGTTGATATGAATAGCTATATTTCTTTTTTTATTTTTCTTCATTTCTTTATACATAATCGATTTAAGAGCAGTTAGCATAATCATTGTAAATACATTTCGATGTAACTTCTTCATCCTTTCTATAAATTTTGCCATTAACAAAAGGGACGAAAATGGTAGAATTACATTTAACAATTGATTACATGTTAGCTATATGTTGATTTGGACAGTGCAGGAAGTATAACTCATTAGATGACTCAATGATTCAAAGCAGAAAGCAAGAAACATATTTAAAAAACATGATAATTTCAAAGTACAATATATTTGTATGTAACGGAATGCATACAACACAAATCAATGAGATTCGTGACTTGTGTCGTACATATACCTGCAACGTTTTTTGGCTCTCGGGGTTTTTATGTCGCAGCAACAAAATAAAAGTCATTCGGCGACTTTCGAACTACTGGTAGAAAGAAGACCGGTCCGTGCATTATTTTAGACACGAACGGGCACTTAAATAGATCAACCGATGTTCGCCAAGCTTGCAATTTGAAAAAAAAAACCTAATAACTCTGATAATAAACTCATTTAAAACAATGCTAGTGTCACCTCTTTAGCGTTTCCTAAACAAAACATTAGATTATATTTTATGCTTTTCAGTGGATAACTGATTTATCCGTGAAAATTATAATTTATTTGATAATTTCACACAAAAATTATCAAAGTATAATTTTACACTTTTCAATGTCGAGACTACTCTATTTTATTTTTGCTAACAATTCTGACATTGGCAGGGCTTTTAAGTGAAAAGCAAAGCTGAAATTGATAAATTACTTAAATATCAAAAGTAACAGAAAGAAGAAAACTTATTTCAATTCATTCAAATTACTTATTACCAAATATCGTCCATAAATTTTATGTTTCATTTTTACAGTCTGAAAAGTACAATTCCTTCCACATGCAAAACTGCTTTTGATGACATTTGGGCATATTTCAGTATCCTACGAGCAATAACTGCCTAATGCAATATGAAAACTTTAACAGAAATGACAACCATCAGCCCGAAGAATAAGTAAACAACCCAGCGTTCGTAAGGCAGTTTTCAACCATTCCATGTTTTCTTTTTTCCTAGCCGCTTTTTGAATGTTTGCAAATCTTTCAACACTTATTTATTGTCTGTAACAATCCCCAAATAAGTTTTCTTTCTTATAAAACGATGTATGACTAACAAATCCAAATAGTATCCCTCTGAATCAAGCACAATTATTTTCCTCCCGTGAAATAAACAAATTATAAAAATGACGCCCGCTTATCTAGCACAAAGCAAGATCTAATATAAATTCCCCATAAGTAACGGAAATAAGGTTGGATGTTGTGACTTTTTCATCTTCTAGACTTGTTTGTTTTTATTAATAAAACAAGCGACCATTCTATTTTTAAAAAAAAAATAATATTATCGCCATTTAACGTTGTTTGTCGAACTTCTTTTTCCGCTGAAGACTTCTTTTTTATGAGAAATTGGACTAAAATGAGACTCCAGTGGGGTTAATAGATTTCAATATTTAAGTTTATTTTAAAGAAATTTCATTTAAACTTGCTTTTTAGCATTAAAGAAAGGAAATTTGTTTGTTTGTTGTGTAAGATGTAATTTATTTCATCTCGCGAACTTTAAAAACAGTATTCTTAATATTTACTAGATGAAGTGAAATTTCATCCTACACACAAACAAACAAATATCCTCTATATATTTAGAACAATTTTCATGAAATCAGTCTTGTAAGGCAAGTTTTTTTTTTAATTAAGTCGTTTTGCATACATGCATGGTATTTGTTGTTCTGAAAACAAGAATAAAATCGTTACATACCGATTTCCGTTATTCCCATAATTAATAGAAAATAATACAATTTTAATTACCAAGAAGAACAATATAAACTTCAGTCTCAACAAACTTCATGTTATGAATTAAAAATACAATCGTGAAAGCTGTGCAAGCAAATTTAATAAGTAACATTTGTGAAAGCGATCAATTGAAATGTAATCAAATAAAGATACACAAGTCTCTGAATATTACATTTGAATTAACCAATAGAAATGACTTTCAATAAGATCGAACAAGTCTATATGTCAATTTTAAAAGTATCCTCCCATTGTCAATCGTTATTTGATATAAAAATAACAGTTTTAACTTAAGACACACATTTTAATCGACCAATCAGAGTACCTCTTTAAAGTACTGCGTGTAGACTAAGTTATTAACATTTTAAGTATGTTTTTGAAATAATGACATACGACCTTCAATTGACCAATCATTTAATGACACCACACGAAAGCTAAGAATAAATTCGCGTGCAAATCCTCCAGATTCATCAGTTTAAAACAACAAGGAAAAGGAAATAAGGATATTAAAAGGGAAGAGTTTTCATATTTTAATCTTTCATTCAAAACGATGGCTATGTTTTCGTTTTTTATTGTTTTAATGCTTTGTGTATCTTTAGGAGGTACGAGTCAAACGTTTGGTACTCCAGAATATAGTAAGTGTTTAATTAATTGTTCTTATACTCTAAAATATAAGGGCAGTTTTTGTATGCTCTGAGACAAAATGCTGTCGACTGTCAAACGATTGAAAAATAATAAAATAATTTTCTTTTTTGACTATGTAACTATTCGAATTGATAATTTTCAACCATTGATTATTTTTATCGTTCGCTTGTTATTGATATATACATAAAAGATATTCATGTGCAAATATCTTCTTAAATATCCATTTCTCAAGTTTTGTAAAATAAATATGTTTAAAGTGAAGTGTAACCTCTTGTTTATAGAATACCTTAACAATTTGACAGTTTGATAACAGCAATTTTTATTTGACATTTGAATGAATTAGAAAACTATCGCCAATAACATTGATTTATATATTTAAATAAATACATACATTTTTTTAAGTAATTAAAAGCAATATGTCAGAAATGTTGATGGGAGAGGATCACAAGTTAATTTTTGTATTAATTGAAATTATTTAGGTAAAGTTTGATGATAGTTATACTGTTATGTCAGGTCCGTGGCACGTGAAAATGTAGAACAGATTGGTCCTGATTGCACTTAATATATTGCAGTTTGTGGTGAAGAAATTACCGTTAATCCTGCACAGCCGGGAGTTCTAAGTTCACCAAATTTCCCAATGAACTACCCAAACAATGCCAATTGTACATGGGTACTTTGTTCCAGTAATCCTACTTGGAAAATTACAATTGAATTCACCATCCTAATTATAGAGAGAGACTTTAATTGTGATTCGTGGGATCGAGTTACCATTAACGACGGTAATGGAATATTTTATTAATTCCTTAATTGTCCCTCTTTAGCTAAAGAATGTTTATTTATACACAATTATACATAAATCTGGCAAATGACAGATTAATTCAACGTTTATGGGATATTTGCAGATTTATTATATTCTGAGTCAGGTAAAAAGATGAATTGTTGAATATCTATATGTATCAGTATTTGACCATAACGAGTAGTTTCAACTGATTCATTTAAATTAAAAATATATCAAAACTTGTATGTCGGTCAAATGTAATGTTTGGCTTTTTTTTTGTTTTTCGTTTTTTTGTTGGCTTCAATATGAATAAGTTGCTTGAGAATATCTAATGAAAGTATGATAGCTGATTTATCTAATAAACCAATTTTAATCTTTGTACCTACCATAGGAAGATTCATTGGGCCAGGAAATCTTGGAATATTTTGTGGAGACCTATTCTGTTCTGGATACCAGCAAGGTTTTTATCCGTTTGATAAAATTATTAGCGAAGGACCATGTGTGACTATCAACTTTTGCTCTGACTTTATCATCACTCGTCCAGGTTTCCAGTTGAATTATGCTGCAGGTAAGTATTCAGTGTCTTTGAACAAGGTCAGCCACAGTAAAGTAACTTGTATACTTTAATATTTAAAAAAAATCTTCTCGGAGTGCCAAATACGGAAAATGTATCTTATTGCAAGGCTTACTTAATGACATAAAATGCAAAAGGGCTTAGAAAAATTATAGATTGATATTTGTTAGAAATTAGGAGTACAAGTCGTTTCTTTAGATAAAATATTCATTACTGATTTGAAAGTGATACTCACTTATACAGGACCAACTTAACGCTAAATAAAACAAAATATATATTTTGCGTTGATTGTTTACACAAATTTCATATATTAGCAAAAAGGAAATAAAAAGGCATTTTTCTTTTTTTCCGATCACAAAGTAATGGTAAGATTATGTTAAACAACATTTCTTGTTAATTTATTTTACTTTCTTTTTCTGCTTTACTTATTATTTGGTTATTTGGTTTCCATTGCACAATGTTTTTTACACCTGTTTCTAATACAAATGTCCACTTAACCGCTTTAATATATATAAATAAGAATGGGCAGTATATCCTGTTAAAGTACTTGCCCTGATAGCATAATTATATTCATATATTTAGGGGATTTGTTTATGTGTGTGTTTCTTTCTTTCTTTCTTTTTTTCTTTTGCATACACTTGTTTTCTTAACGTTGGTCCAATCAATTTGGTTTGCCTCATTTCCTCATTTCAATCTACAAAATTTGTAAAATTTTTAAATGATTTTTTAAAGGTTTTTACTATATTGACCATTTAAAAATAAAATTATAATCCAATCCTTATGTTATGATATCTATAAAAGTACAATTCAATGCTTGATTAATTGTCATGTGAGAACTTTATATATAAATATTGATTATGTGATGTATTTAGTAATTGTAATATAGTGATTTTTGTAGTTATTGTATAGCTAGGGAATGTTTGCTATTATAGTTACTTACAAAGGCCAACATGATACTTACTGACAATACCACTACACTTGTTTGATATCGATCTTTTTTTATTTTAGCCTGAACAAGTCGAGGATGGTAAGCGACGACGAAGAGATTTCGAGGAACACAACAATCAGATGTTTCAACAACATGCAGACAAGATTGACAACTAATTTATTTATTGTTTGATGAACCTTTCCTTTACAATACGTTTACATTTTAATAGCATTTCAGATCGTTGCTACAATGAAATCTATATAACCATACTGAAATTATGAATAAAGTTTGTCAGCTTATCAAGTTGTTTTCTGTTATCTTTTCTTCACGTCCAGACATCACAAAAGTTACAATGCAAAACAGGAAAACGCATCAAATATAGAATCTTCTAGATCTTACTTTTTCATTCCTCTATATACCCCTTTGTGTTATATCTTACAAATTCATTTGTAGAAAGTTAGGAAAGTGTGGAAGACGTTTGCTCATTACCGAAAAAGATCGTGAATTTGAGACCAGCTGTTGTAAAAGAAACTTTTTTTTTTCTCTCAAAGTAAATTATTGAAGTAAATTGGTTATATTCACTAAAATGCTGACGAAAATGTTTGTTTATGTATATATCTTTACGATTTTAACAAAACAAAAGATCAGAAACAGATGATGATGATGATGATGACGACCACCACCATTACGATGATAAAAATGATGGTGATGATGGCAGACAGAAAATTAAACATTATTATTACAAAAACATTAAAACCTAATCAGAAAGACATGTGTGAATATTAATCATTAAACAGTTGATTGTCTCAAATAATTGTAAACTGTGTGCCATTTGTTTCGTCTGTTTTTTTTTATTGATAAAATTGCAATATTTAACTTGCTAAGGTAAAGATAGAAGTCGCCCATACCTGAAATAATAAAAGGGAGAAGATGCAAAATACTTAAAGCAAACGACACTTAAAGTTGCAATAAAATATACTTAGCCTAAAAAATAAGTGGAATATAGAATGACAAATCTGCAAATTTAAGGAATTGTGAATGCATTCTTTTTATGATTTATTATAATGATTTTTGAATAGGGAAATCCCTCAACAGCAATGAAAACAAAGAACAAAAAGTTGAAAATAGCAAAATCGGTTTCACTTAATAAATATGTAATTATTCTTAAATGAGAAAGTATAAATATTGATGATTTTGATTAAAATATGATTAATGTAATGGTGCTGTATGTTGTTGATTATGATGACGATTTTCTTAATTCAGAATAATTTCAAGGATAACAAAACACATTTCCATCAATAAAACATTTTCTGACATAAAGATTAATAAACGCATGATGTATTACTACAAAAAACCGCATCAAAACACATTTATGAAGCAAATGTTACCTAGATTTATAACATTAAACGACAGAATGTTTATGTTTTACCTTGAAAATGATATATTGTCACCAAATGTTATCTGTTAAAGCGTTCTAACAAAACAGTTGCTTTTTTTGAAAGGAAGTAAAAAAAACAACACTACTGCTACTGCTGCCACTGCTTTGCTACCACTACCACTACTACCACTACCACCACTACCACTACTGCTAACATAAGGTGTAACAAATGGAAAGGGCAATAACTAGACTCGCTTATAGTAAAAATATCCTGTGTGACTGGGGCTCGGGACTTTCATTTCACTTCGAAACATAAAAAAGTCGACTAATAGAAGCTCAACTTCTAGAAGTTCAACTGTAATTTAAAAAAAATCTAGCTGCAACATTTTGATGTTTCATCAATATTTTGCCTTTGATAATCTTAACATGCTATGTAAAAAAATTGATATCTTGTATCATTGTATTATAAAATGTGTTTATTTTTCGTTCTCTGTTTTAGTACCTATGGGAGCATCTACCACCCATAAAAGTAGTGAAAGATATATGTCGATATGTCGAGTATGAGCAAATTATATAGTTCTTCAACAAGTCTATGAATGGCACAAATCTGACATTATAATATCGGCTTCTTTTGTCTTGTGAGCTTTTGTCAAAATCTACTTATTTGTTTAGGATATCTTGCCTAAAGAAATTGTGGATACTATAGTGAAAACAGACTATATGAAGGTTGATGTTCAAGTTGGACAAAGATATCTTTAATGGAGAACGGTTCTTAAATATTTGAGACAGATTGCATTTAAAACTGTTCCAACACACAACTTGCATGGAAATCTTGTATTAAGAAAACTCATCTTTTGCAGTTTGAAGGTTATTGGTCAAATGCTACATAATCAGTAATATGAAGCTTGACAATATTCATAAGGTCTGATTATTTATCTTAAAACCGGACTTCAAATGCTGTACTTCACAAAACTTCACATAAACATTCTCTGATTCATTGTGACATTAATCCGATTTAGACTGATCTGGCTAAACTGTTTCTCTCTTTCTCCGCCTCTCTCTACTTCAAGGAGAGCAACTCTAACAAGTTAAATAAACACAAAATGTGTTTAATGACTAACATGTACTTTTAAGCTACCTAGCTTGAGGTATGGTCCCTATCTCATGATGCTCCCTAGCTCACTTGAGCTATAAGGATATAAGTAACTTCACCTATTGGTAACTTAGGATAATACTAATATAAATCTTGATACTTAAGGATACATCATACTAGTAACATAGGAATTTTTACTTTAAGTTACAGATAAAATGTGAACTTTAGTATATTGGAACCTTGTAACTAAAATATTGGTAACTTGTATCTGTGATATATGATATTATTCACTTAAAATATTGGTCACTTAGCATATTCGTACATTAGCATAAAGATTTCTGGTGCCTTTGTACACTGGTAACTTAGAATATTGGTATCTTAGGATATTCATAACATAGGAAATTAGTAACTTAACATACTAGTAACTATTCATGTTGGTATTTTAGAATAGTGGTAGCTAATGTTATTGATAACTTACCATTCTGGTACCTCTTCGGATATTGGTAATGTAATATATCGATACCTTAACATACTGGTAACTCAATATATTGGTAACTCAAGATAATTATTTGTAACTTCAGATACTGATAAAAATTGAGCATATTGAAAAAATATGAAACTGAGAAAATATCATTCCATGAAAATACAAGTAACACTTTTCATTTTTATTTACTTTTTAGATCTATTTGTTCCTTACTTACATGATAGTAACATAAAATTTTATATATTATTTAAACATTTGTAACAGCAGTGAAACTTTGTATATGGCGCTATGCTTAACATCATCTAGACAAATCACAAACATAAAAAACTTTCCTATCACTACCCAATAAATTGATCCAGAATAATTACTTTTTATAAGACAGACAACATTAATAATTATTTGAAGAAATATCTAATCAAACTGTCGGTAACATATTGAAATATGTTATCTGCCACTCACTTTGCTTCAAAGCAATTATGAAACAAGCATTTTGACTGGATACCGTCAGGTTAACGCCTCTTATTTCTTAAGACCACCCACTAAAGTTATAAAACACTCCCATTTCTGACCCTGAAATGTTTGAAGTAAAATATAAATGTGATAATAATAAATGATAATGAATAAATTACTATTGAAATGATACAAAATATGTAATTTATACAATAGAATAGAGAGAAACAGAAACCCTTAAGAAAGCCCAACACGGCAAAATTGTGAAAGGTTGCAGACTCGGTTTGATTGAGCGTGTTCATGGATGGTACTGGAAAGTGCAAGTTACCGTCCACGCCCCCTAGCACCGGCTTAAGCAAAATTTAACATTTACACACAATAATGGTGAATTTTGAATTAAGAAACATCCGCAGATGTGTTCATATGGCGGTTATCATGGAACCTTGAATGTGACACAGTAGTGTCATTCCATGAAAAGCGGCGAATGGTCTCCAAGTAAAAGAATGCGTGTGCCCTAAACGAGAAAACAACGGGCGGAACTAAATAAAATGAAATTTTGAAAGGGGATCCAAGGTTATGAAGCCTGCATTTCACATACAAGACGTCAAAAGACAGATTTAAAAAGCAGGCAACATATCCTAAGGGTGATTATACAGTATTCAAGTAGGAATACTGGAACCACCCAAGTTGAAAAGGGCAAATACAAGAAACTAAAAATACCATATAAAATGTATACACAACAATAACGTCGTGCTGAACGATCCTTAAAGATGGTAAATATAATATCATTGATTAAATGTACGGGAAGACTTTTTACAGCCGCCTGACTAACTTTACATTATCACTTTAATTTACACTATCACAATAAAATAGAGAAAATAAGAATCCCTAAAGAAAGCCCAACACGGCAAAATTGAAAATGTTGCAGGCTCTGTTTGATTGAGCCTGTTCATGGTACGGTACTGTCAAGTGCAAACTACCGTCCACGCCCCCTAGCACCGGCTTAAGCAGAATTCAACATTTAACATGAACTGGTACAATTTTGAATTTAGAAACATCCGCAGATGTGTTCATATGGCGGTTATCATGGAACCTTCAATGTGACACGTAAGTGCCATTCCATGAAAAGCGGCATATGGTCCTCAAATAAAAAAGTGCGTGTGCCCTAAACGAGAAAACAATGAGCGAAACTAAATAAAATAGAATTTTGAAAGGGGATCAGAGGTTATGAAGCCTGCATATCACAGATAAGACGTCAAAAGACAAATTTAAAAAGCAGGCAACATATCCTATGATATGAAAGGGTCATGAAAAACTTGTACACCACTTCTTAAGTAATCATTCATGTATACACAACAGAGAATTTTTTTGAGAAACAAATGACATAAATGCTAAACATTTACAGTTCGAGTTATAATTGCTTATTTATTTATTTATTTTTTTTTAATTTTTTTTTATGTTTTTTTTTTTTTTTTTGATCTTAGGTAATACAAATCAATCAACTTCAATCATAAAACATCTGCTCTTCTCGTTTACTTTGGAAATTAGAGGCATCGCATGTAGAACGCAAATACACAAACACAAAATTGCCCGGATTATTAAGGTGGTGTTCGTTCACGAGTAACACAACTCCTACAACTTCTGCAATATTTGCGTATGCCTGATTTAGACGAAAATTGACTGTAACAGTTATCAATTTCAAACTATCAGAGTTATTCTTTATTCCACTGTATGAAAGAAACATATCTCTATTTCTTTTGCCACAAAGATGGCACATGGTGGCCGCCATGTGAATGAGAGTAGTCCAATATTCACTTATTGTAATGTCTTGGGCAAGCCAAAGATCAGGTCAAGCAATCAGTCGAAGTTAACTTTACCA